ATCAACATGTCATGAAAGAGCATAAACCTCATGGATGAATGAAAGGATATGAGCTTTTTCTCAAAGTAAACCTCCAGAAAGCCCTATTGTGGCAGAGAGATTAAGGAAGTTTCCTTTTCTGAACATAATTAACATGGGAATAATATATGGGTAGTTTCATCTGGGCTAAGGAGAAACAACTTTTGAACTCCTATAAAATAAATGAGGGTCATTGTTAAGAAATTAAGAAAGTACACAAAGTTGCCTAAAGAATTTTTTTCCTATTCTTTAGTACATTTTTAAGGAAAAAAGAATCCATAGTAAATCAATAAAAAAAAGAAGATCATGTTAAAATTCACCAAAATGTGATATATATTTAAATTGAGTCTAGAAATGAAAAATGTGAGGCTATATTTAACAAAGATGAATGTTTTGTTTCATACTTTAATTACAAACCTTTGCAAAACCACCAGTTGCCACCATACCTGATTTCTATTCTCTTTTTTTAAATAGCCTTGTTAACTAACCTGCTTTTAAAGGACAAGGAACAGTTTTCTCTGTTGTTTCTGTTCTCAGTTTAAAAAGACAAAGCAGAATAACAAAGATTTTTCTTTAATTGTTTTACTTTTTGATTATGACTTTTTCAGTGTTATAAAAGCAGCAGCTCTCACCCATGCCCTCACATTCCCAGATGCCCACAACAAGGCACACTAACATCTCTCCTTTATGGTAGAAAAAAGGACTCTAATCCTTCTAGCATCACCGGAATATAAGGTTCAGAGGCTAAACCAAGATTTTAAACAATCTTCCATGACAGATAAAATTATCTAAAAGGAAACAGACCTCAAGACACAGTAAAAATTCTCCTGACACAAAGTTAGCCCCTTCTCAGACTGTGTGAGTTGGTACTGAGCACTAGAAGAAGCACACACCACTGTTCATGGCTTTTATGCAGCGTTGTGTCACTGCTTGTTCTCAGACTGTCCAGGAGCTTTTTGCTGACACCAACTCTTTGGTGTGGTGAGGCTTCCTGCTCCTCACCCCTGAAAAGTCTTTCCATCCAAATGAAAAACTAGAGAGAAGAGATACCCTTTGCCTTCCCCTTGCCCCACTACCCTCAAAAAAAAAAAAAAAAAAAAGAAATACAGTGGTTCCAATTCTGGTTACTTTCACACAGACAGATACAAAATTTATCACAAGAAGGATGCAGAAATTTAGACACAGTGCTAGGATGATATTTTTCTATGTATTACTACACTCATTTTCCATTGATTTAATCAGTGAAAAATGCTGTACTTTACACAGCTTCCTTATAAAACTTAATCTAACCCAAGCTGAAATTAAACCGGTCCAAAATTAACTTCAGAGTTTTGCTAATTTTGTCTAACTTTGTCCTGGGTAATTTAAGCTGGAAACGGGTATTGAAATTCAATACTCGGAGATTTTTATTTTCAAAGAGGGAATCTTCCATTTTCCAGGGCTCTGTGGATCTACTCTTATTATATAATGGTGAAAGCTCCCACCATGTCAGGACAAGAACCCCTAGCTGACAAATCACATTCCTTTAAGTAACAACACCCCCTTGAACTTGACCAGAAAAGGCTGCTTAAAATCTGTTGAAAACATTATAGTTCCTTTCCAAGCAATAAACATTAAATGGGCTATGCAAATGTTGTCCATCATCTTGCCACCAAAATGGTGATTAATTAATTCAATGTAAATACAAAATTGGTATTAATAAAAAATGACAGTTTCTTTTTCATTTCAGTAAACTTGAACTAGTGACTTTCTGTGTGTTTATATTTCCTGTATATGGCTTTCACGGATATTCTTCAACAGACGAGCTGAAAGTTTGATTGTACAATATAAAGCCACTAATTTACATTTCTGAAGTAACAGGTCAGTAAAGATTTCTCACTTCTAGTTCTGCAAATTCAGGCTCACTAATCCTTATACAATTATTTTTTATTAATTATTTTGCCAAATGTGTGAAAGTGCAAAGCATTCCCCTTGACACAATCACGACATAAAATTTGAAGGCAGAAGACCCTTGCCTACAAAACCCAAGACAGTTGTTCATGGGGTCATGGGCCACAGACTCCCCACAGACTCTTCTCTTGCCACACCTTCGCTTTACTGCTTGCCACCAAAAGTATCCTCACAATATTTTTTTCTCACTAAAATGGCATTTCCATATTATTTAAAAGGTCTGGGAAGCTATTAACTATCAGAAAAAACAATTAGAACTGTCAGAGTCCTGAGTATTCCACAATCTAGTATTCAAGGGAATCTTGCAGAAACACAAACATGTTGGATTAAAATACTTCCCTACTTGCTTCCTTATAAACCAGGAAAATAACTTCTCCATTGGGAACAGAATTGCACAGATAGAATTGGAGAAGAGTCTAGCTCATGTTGTCTCATACACTTTTCTTATGCCTGTATCACTAGCCTAATTAAAAGTCCTTTTAAAGGCTGATGTGTGTGTCTAATTGATTTAGCATATTTTTGAAGTTTCAATAATATGCAGATATCTAACCCTAAGAGCCATTACGCATATAAACATTTTTAGCTCTCTTTTTGATATATGTCTTTTGGCTGATCAGTTTTCAAAATATCTATTTGTACTAGTGCCAAATAGTCTGCCATTTCCATATAAGCCTCCAATTTGTGCATCAGCACTTTATAAATCTCCAAATAAAATCTTCCATGTTTATTTTTCTTCGAAAGAAAATCCCATTTAATAAGTGCAGGCCTCCTTTATTTATATGTATTTTTTTATTGAGATGGTATCTGTATGCTTTTAAGTCATTTCAGTGTTTGAGGGTTTTTATTATGGAAAGAGAAAATAAAAATAATACTAAAACTATATTAGATTTCTACTATGGGCTTATCTACACATAGTTTAAAGCACATAATCATCACTTTTTGGCTGATGGTACTGCAAGAAGACTAGCGTTGTGATAGAAAGGAGAGAAAAAAGGGTTTCCTGGAGTAAAGCCAATATTTTGTCAGCACTCTGATCTCCTAAAGGACACCCCCTCCCTTTCTGACAGTTTGGTTCCTTCCACTATGTGTGCTTTTTCAGGTGTTTAATTTTTTGAAGTAAATTGTGAAGAACATCCTTAAAGGGTGTCAGCAAATATTTTATAACATATATTTATCAAATCTTTGCTCTCTGATCCTGTTTGATACGATTTTGATATTCAAAATATCTATTTCCATTTGTGCAAAATATAAATTTCTATTTACCATTTAGTCCCCCTCATCAGAGACGGGGATTTCTCACCTTCTGGTCCAGGAGGGAAAATGTAAAGCCAGGACAGGACTGAATACCCCAGTAATCACAGAACACTGGTCATTGCATTCACCCCAGCCATCACTGGTGGCACCATGGCATATGGTGCCATGGGCAGTAAGTGGTGCTTCCAGAGATAGCTCAGAGCCTTCTCCTCCATTTCTATCATCTCTATGTGGCTGTACAGTCTCCCAGAATGCCTCCATGCTGCCATGAAAGCAGCTGTGATTTTATCCTGGGCAACCTGGCCTTAAAACACTTAATCCAGGATATCTTAACAGCATGGCAGAGCAGGCTCAGAGGCTCAGTACGTTCAAATATTTATGCTTCCTGGGTGAGTCTGGCAAGAAGTGCTGCCAAGTGTACCTTTATCAGTGTCCTATGCTGGCTAATTTAAAATTAACTTGGGCACTGCCTACATGAGTCGCAGCAAGGTGTTTGACCGAAACCACTGTGTCCCTCCAGGTAGGATACCCAGTTCAGGGGGAAGGTGGAGGTGAGAAGATCATTTTATGATTCAAAACCTGAGCTGTTTCACCAGCTGGAGAGACTGACAGTGTAATATAGCACTGTATAGCAGTGCTGGAGAGAGCACCCTCACTCCAGGGAGATGCAAAAGAAAAGACCAACAAGCATTTTGTAGAGAACCTGTGCTCAGGATGCAGCTGGCAGCTGTGACCAAGGTGCAGGGAGGCTGGTCTTTCACACCAGTGCTCACAAGGTGCTCAGAAACCTGTGGCCCAATGAGTAAAATTAGGAACATCCTTCACTTGATTTCTTAGGCAGGATAGTAGTCTTCAGGAATTTGGGACATATCAGAAACTTTTCTTAAAAAAAAAAAAAACCAAAACCCAAACACTGAACAAGTGGGAGAGGAAAATAAAGGGATGGGCAAATTTTCTTACTTTTTCCTACAGAGTTTTATCTGAGTATTATACCAGAATCGGACTCTAATTTTTTTTCTTGATTGTCTCTTTTTGAGTGAAAAGCACTTAGTTAATGTACAGAGATCAAGTTAAATCATGAAAAAATATCAAGCATCTTGGTGTGTATTTATTTACAGGATTGCTCCAAATGAACACACACTGTTGTAAAAATAATTCACCCATTTTCCAGTGCCTTTCTAATAATGTACACAGCCACATCAGGCAAAATGAAAGCTTAATCAGTTTTCAGGAGACAGAAAGTGCAGTTCCCTGCCACAGATATGATCCGGCATGTAAGGAAATCACAGCTCCCGCCGCTTGGTGATTTAAACGGAGCAGAGCCCTCTCGGTTTCTGCATCCCTTGTAAGACTCCCTGCCCCACCAAACCATGAGTTGTGTTTGAGTACAACCAGCAGATCGTTTCACTTAGACAGGACTAATTCAGGAGTAGGAGGAGGAGTACGAATTTGCTGTTAAAAGGAAACAAAAATAAAACAACAACAACAACAAAAAACCCCAACCAAACAAAAACAAAACAAAAGAAAAAAAAAAAAAAGTCCACCCAGAATAAAAAATAAAATAAAATAAAATAAAATAAAATAAAATAAAATAAAATAAAATAAAATAAAATAAAATAAAATAAAATAAAATAAAATAAAATAAAATAAAATAAAATAAAATAAAATAAAATAAAATAAAATAAAATAAAATAAAATAAACAAAAACAAAAAACAAAAAAAGAAGTAGAGAAGTATTTGGGGAAGAAGTGTTCGGGGAGGAAGGGCTGCAGGATTACCTCTGGTTTCTCGTTTCCTAGGAACGTAGTAACTTCCCCGTGGGTTGTTTTGTGGGCGGTGTTTTTGAATATATGCTAATCGAGCTTCGCTGACAGGGAGAGGAGCCGTGTGTCGGTGCCACAGCTCCGCTGACAGCCCCGCCGAGCCGGGCCATGCGCTGCTGCTTGTGACAGGGTCACTCGCCCTGCCCTGGGCCCCCTCTGTCACCAGCGGCGGGGCCGACATGTGCCTATGACCATGGAGATGAAGGACTCGGGCAGCGTGGTGCTGACAGCCTACCACCCGCACAGCCCGGCCAGGATCCCGGGCATGGAGCAGAGCTTTGTGCAGGATATCCCCCCCAGCCATTCGCCCAGCAGCAGGTAAAGGCTGAGGGGCGGGGGCCGGTGCCGGGGCCCGGCGCTGTGGCGCTGTGGGACGGGTGTTGTGCTGAGGGCTGAGGCGCTCCGGGGCGCTTGGCTCCCGCACTTCGCTGTCTCCGCCGGGGAAGTGATTCAGGCCAGGGCTGCGGGCTGGCCTTGGGACGGGGGGAAACACGAGTGCGTGTTTTAAATCTTGTAAATCGGCTGAGCAGTTTCCTGCCCAGGATACTCAACAAGACAATCCCTACGGAAAAAGGCACGTGGATAGGATCGGGCTTCTGCTCAGGTCCTTTAGGACTGTACTGCCGAAAAGTGAGGTGGCGGGACTGGCTGAGCTTGGCGCTCAGAAAGTTGATTCTGGCTTTGGTTTAGAGGATTATTTAATTCCTTCTCCGTTCACTCACCAGGTCAGAACCAATCCTTGTGCTTTTCGCTGTAAAATTGAGGTTGCTGCTTTGCTTTGCACACCCACATACACACAATGGGAGACCGCATCCTTAAAGACTTAGTCTAAATAAGAAAATTCCTTTCTGTTGCAGGAAACTAAGTATTGTCTTAATTAATGCAGTCGTGTGTATGTTTACCTTCCTGCCTTGTAGGAATGCATGTATTTGCACAGTTCAAAAACAAGCGGTTTGAGCAGTTTTACTATTTTAGAAAATCTGATCTTTCTCCTAAAGATACATATCTGAGTTTTGCAGTTTCGTCCAAAACAAGTGATATAAAAGTTCATACTGTAAAAAGTTGAAGAAAGTAGGAAATCTTGCATTATGGCTTGACTGAAAAAATAAGAACTTAAGTGTAAGGAACAGCAGATGACATTATCCCCACGAATTAACTGTGTCTTCTCTTAATAAAAATAATGATATTTACTTTATATTGTTTATTTATAGCCCAATAGCTATTTTGCTTTAAATGTCATTATTTAGATTAGCTGCATCTTCCTGTTCTTTGTGTGTTTCCCTGGCTGTGTCATAAAGATAACTCCTTTGTTCTGGTAAATTGCTGCTTGAGAGCAGTACCAAAATACACAATTACATGTTGAGAGAAGAAACGGAGTCTGGGCTTTAAGACGCAGTAGGAATGGCATTTGCTACTCAAAACAGAGAGCAGTGGTTTGGCATTGGGTTACAGGGAAACATGTAGTTTTTTCCCTGTGCTCTTTCCTTAGGAAGAGCACTAAACTCAATCTGACTTAAGTTTGTGAGCAACAGAAATGTGGTGTGTTGCTGTTTTTCTTGTGGGTGTGCTAATTGTTTTAAAATGAACTTGAAACTTAAGCTCAGAGTGTATGAGAATTTAAATCACACACATAAATCACATGCATATCACCTACAAAAAGCAGAAGTGCCAATTGCAGTTCCTGAAAGAAAAAAACTAAAGCAGTCCCTGACATTTTGATGAGGAACATATTTTGGAAGCTCCTGCCATGAGGCAAGGCACATGGCTATGTGTCTCTCTCTGTGTCTACATATTCATAAGATTTTGGTGCTGTCTCCCCTTTCTTGTCCTCAACTTCCCACAGCTGTCTAATAGCAGTAGCCAAATTCTGCCATATGGGCAGTCAGTGGCTGTCTGAGGTTCCAAAGCCTGTTCAAGAGGGGGATTTTATTAACCCAGCATGAAGTCCTGTGGAATGCAAAACCCATGAAGGCAAATGCACTGAGTGTTTTAGCAAATGGTAAAATAGGCTCTGGCTTAATCCCTACTTCATCTTCTAAGAACTCTTTCCTGGACGGCATTTTCTATATAGTTTCCTCTGCCGCCATCCTAATGCAAGAGGTTTTATTATAGGCTCTGTCTGGTGTTCCTTGATCCCCAGGGCATCTACCCACACTATGGCATGTTAACTCCTTGACTCTTCAGGAAAATGATTCAAAAAACTATGAAAAGAGCAGAGGTGTCACCCATTTCTTGTTTGATAACAAAAATAGTTGGGACCTAGAACCTGATTTTCCTCTGAAGTCAGCTGCTTAAGTTACATATAGCTCTAATACAGTCTGTACTTAATGTTTATCCATGAGAATAGAATCTGTCTTGGATATTAGGCTTTGATTTGATAAACTGCTGGCCAGTTCTCTCTCAGCTTAGGAATCAAGATAATTAATTTTCCTTCTTCTCCTCATAACATTTTGCTTGCTTCAGAGTGATGCACTCTTTATGGCTCCACTATTGGAGAAGGCTTGGAGGCGTCTTCGAGCTGTTTTCCCTTGCAAAAACTTTCACTTTGGAAATCTTATAATCAGAGTTTTCTCGCAAAAAGTGGAACGTAATGCAAACTCAGCTAGCATTTAACTGCACCACTCCCCACCATTTAAAAAGACACTGATAAAAAAAAAAAAGAAGGAAAGGTTTAAGTAACCATCATGAGCCCCCTAAATAAATGAGTAATGCTAAACACTCTTGACAATCCAGACACACAGCTGAGGAGCCTGTGTACATGAAAGGTTACACTAAGAGATGCATCAGACCACTTGGATTCATATTCACGCACAACTCTCACAGGGACAACCAGGCTGGCATTTCTAAAACACACTGCCAGCATTAGGGTCTGCATGAGGTGTAGCAGCTGCAAGTATTTCCTTTCCTAAGCCCAGTGGGTCTATACCTCGTCAAAAGTTAGGGGATAGTAGCTGGTGGGCTCTAAGGAGAACAGGAAAAAATTTGCTTTAATTGCTTTGAGTGGAGGATGCATCAGTGTGCAGTGAAGGATTGAGAATTCTTAGAAGTAATGAAGAGGAGAGTGGGATAGAAGTTTGACTGCATAGTGATGCCATCGCCGGTTTGCAAAGGAGAATTCCAGCTTCCAAATGTAGTGTTGGATAACATCAATGAAATGATTAACAAAAGGGACCACAGATTCCACCCATCCTCCAGAACAAGAGTTCATCGGGGGACTAAAGAAATATCTTTGCTTCAGTTACCCATATAGTTCAGTTCTGTCTTTGTTGCATCTTGCAGACTTATTTAACCAGTTCTGTACATAGGCTGGGGTGAGCCCTGAAAACTGCACTGTTGAGTTCCCTAGAGCTCCAGGAGAATTCTCCAGACAAACCTTCTTCTAATTCTGCTAAAATAACTAGCATGCTCATTTTCCATTTTTCTCATGGGTTATTAAGGTCTCTTTCCTTAGCTTGCCATCTGCTTTTATGTGCACTTTATAAGCGCTTAAAGTACTAGTATTTTTTATTTATTTTTTTTTATTGCTTGTGAGAATGAGGTGTTGAGGAGATCTCTGTTTTGTTTGCTTAGCAGTCAGGCTAGCTCCACAGCGCATGAGTATAGTGGGAAAAACTCCTGTTCTTGTGGCAACCCCATCACTGTTTTTTAATCCTGTTTATTAGAAAACAGATGTCACAAGTACTGGCACCAAAGAGCCCAGAATATCACACTATCCCTGTCAATACAGATCCTGTCTCAGTGCAAAGGTGAAAGTGCTGATTTATGTTACAAAATGGTCAACTTTGGCTTCCTCATTTCAGAGAATCAAGGACTTTGTAGCTGTGCACAAATACTGCTCCTGGATTACATAGAGGAAAAGTGGGGCCATGGCCATATGTCTTTCTCACATCCCCTTTTTATCCTGTTAGGAGTATCTAGGAGGAGTTATTCCTGTGCTCAAAGGAAACAGGCATGACCTCTATGCCAAACGGCCAGTGAGCTCTCTAAGGTAATTATGCAATTAGGGGAAGACAAAGCATTCCTAAGTGAGTCATGCTCCAGCTTTCCTTGACTCCAGTGTGATAATTAGAGTTCCTCTGTTTGCTACCAGCACATCTACCGGCAAAAAACTCATCCTGCAGTGCAAATCCCAACATTTTCACTGCAACAAGTGTCTGTCACTTATATGTGCATAAGATAAGAATTAGAGGAAAGTAAATGCACGTTCATAGGGTTTGTTCCTGCAGAATGGGGTGAGAGCAGCTTTTAAAGTGCACATCAAGCTTTTTATACATGGAGTAACCTTTTCAATCAATAATCATAATCAATCATAATCAAAAAGCAGCATATATACTGCCAAATCTAGGAGCTTGCTGCATAGGTAAAGGACAAAGTAGATGTCAGCACTATTGATCAACACAGCCAAGAGCTCTTCTTCTTCCCTAGTCAACTTCAAGTCTGGTACTTCCAGTTGTTTCAGAGAAATGCCCTCCCAATCTCTTTGCATTCAGCATGTCTCCCTCCTCCTACTGTCAGGGGGGTGACTTTCAGGCAGACATCACTAAACCAGAGACTCAAAAAACAGGAATATTTTCTGTATTGGTTGAAAAATATTGTGTGTATTGAGTGACCTGCTGGCAACTTCCAGGATCCCCGCTCTCCAAGTCTAAGACTTGCAGATTTGGAGCTGATAGTTGAGTCACTACACTGGACAAGCATGACACCAGATTGTTTTGTAGGATTCATTCCTCCTTGCAAGCTCCAAGAAACTACAGATATATGTCAAGGTGAGGTAAAGTGTCCTGAAATAATTCCCTGGAATGAGTACAATTGCAGGAGGAATCTTTATGCACCAAAATTTGTCTTGTGGCAGGAGGAGCTATATGAACAGTTCAGGTTTTATCTCAGCAGAAGCAGATTTTATCACACTGAAGTAAGACCTGTATGCCCAGAGGCCAGGTGATCTGGGTTGGATTTCTGTCAGTGCTGATTGAGCAGCTCCCCTGCTCAGTTGTATACAAGTGATGTCAAGAATGTCTTCTTGGTGATGCAGGATAAACAACCTTAACTATTTTGGATGTTTATCTCACTCTATCATAAACTTCCCCAGAAGACAAAAATAAAAATCTGGCTCCTTTTCCACAGTAAATCTTGACATGACTGGGGCCTTTTGCAGTAACTTGGACTCCAAAGCTATGAATTTAAAATTTTAAAATGTCCTAAATGTGGTAAGGAAAATCCCACAAATTAGTAGCCCAGGAAAAAGCAGCATTGGCACCAGCTGGGCAAAAAATAAATTTTTTGTGGAAAAAATAACCCTTGTTACAACTAACAGAAGC